ACAGTCGCGCAAAACAATTACCCAGCCCCAAATGTCAATAGTACTGAAACTGAGAAATGTGCTCTAGACTATTTAATAAGGAAATCATAGATAAGACTGGAAGGTCAATATTTCTTTTTAAACCTTAGGAAAAAAATATATTTTAAACTTTGAGAGAGATGTCTAGCAATTAGATTCAGAGATACTATGACATCAGCAATCTAAGACGTATCTCTTTCCATAATCTGAAGACAAAAAAAGAAAAAATCAGTTTGCAGTTTTCTAACCCAACACAAAATATGAGGAAGTGATCACTATAGCATTGTAAAGAGCAAACTATATCATGGTTGAGAGATAAGTGTTACAAAACATAGAAATCACATAAAATTAGTGGGGATAACCAATGCCTCTCCTTCTGAAGTCCTTATAGTACCTGTAATACAACGGGCTTATATTGCTAGTTATTTTAGACTCTCAATTTCTTAAGGGAAGAAACTGTGTCTTATTCATCTCTATATTTTCTACTAGGTCCAATCCAACATCTTGCAAATAATAGACACTAAAAAGCATTTGGCCAAAAAGGGAATAGATGTCTAATATTTAGTAACACACTGATTTACATCTCAAAATTGTATCTCAATGGTTAAAAAGTATATTCTTCTTAGCCTAAAAATACAAGCCTAGTTCAACATGTGGCAGATCATAGAAGAGCTGAAACCAACATAAATGACCATAATCCATGTAACCATGACTATACGTTCATTCCAAATGCTTGAAAGCTGTCTCGAAGAAGTCTTAGCTATTGCTGACTATCATAAAACATTAAATAAGTAATCTAAAAATGTTTTTACTATCTACTATTTGACAAATTACCAGACAATGAACATCCTATTATATTTATAGATGAGGAAACAGACCAAGAGTGGTTAAATAGGTAGGAGAAGATCATGTAGTTAATGAATTTCACAGTCAGGACTTTAACTCTAAAACCCATGCTCTTTCCATAAAACCCTGTTACTGTTTCACAACAATGGCCTAATCACTCATAAATTGTAATTATCAGTATCATTTAATAAAACATGGTGAATTAAATGATATCTACTATAAATTTCAGTGAAATTCTGCATATTTAAAATTAGATCTATTTACAGAGACAAATGACAAATGAATAAGAAGAGCCAAAGCCACCAAAGCACCAATAAAGTGTAAGTTTAAAAAAAAAAAAAAAAAGGCTAGCCAATAGGACAGCAAAGAAAATAAATTAAGTAAACTATACTTAAGTAAACTAAGCCTATAAGCTTGTTGTGGATTACAGATTTCATTATTTAAAAAAAATCAGGAAAGATCCTGCTATGTAGTAGAAGCTATAATATGACATACAAGGGCCAGCAAAGACTCCTTCTGCAATAATAATGCTGCCTGGTGCTATCTGTCTATGCAATGCTGGTTAACACTTTACATTACTTGATCCAAAGCTGCTTTGCACATTTTTGAAAAGTTGTGCACAAGCATGAAAAGAGACAGAAATGTAAAGACAATGAGAAAGATGTCTCAGGTTTAAAACACCTTCTTTGGGGTCATTTAGCCTAGGGATAATAAAGCAAAGAGATAACTATCTTTTAAAAGTTGGTTGATCCTCATCAAAATGATATATCTACATATAAGCATACAGGGAAAATATGCTGCTAATAAAACTTCTCTAATTATTAGAAGGAATTTTCAAACATTAGTTAACTACCAATGATGGCTATGGATCACAGTGCTAGATAGCTTAATGAGTAGCTTACTCCAAAATTAGACTGATACTGTTTCCACAAATAACCAAAAGTGCTTCTCTCTTGATGAAAAGCCAAGATATGACAAAATTTAATCTCTGTCCCAGTCTCTTAACAGCTATAACTTCATATCAGTGAATAGTACTACCAGGGGTAACATCCAATAGGAAAAGTTTGTTTTACTTAAATTTCTTCCTCCAAAGCTGAAGTAAATTATGACTGCAGAAACCACACCCTGTGATGCAGATTATTAGGCAGATGAGAAGAACAACCATCTCTCAGCGTCTACTAGGAGTTCAAGACAGGGAGGATACAGATGTGAGTGACATTAAGTTTCTTTCCATATTTGATAAATGTTTTAAGTTCTGCTAAATAGCATTATGTAATATTTTAATTCAACTCATGTACAGCTTTTTATTTATGTGAGATTTTTATATGTTTACTTTTTACATCTTTAAGTGGTAAAACTGAAGGCATTACTTTAGCAAAGAATAACAGAATTATATAAGAGAATCTAAACTAATCCACTAAAGATAACCAAGCTATCTGTTTGTCACCTTTTAGTAGTATTATATACTCAGGCAACTATGGAAAACAACCAAATTAAAAATTATTAATGATACTTAAAGTATTACAGCTTCTGGGAAATAAACCTTCTATATGTCCTATGATAAAATTAAGATCCACAGTTTCTCTTTCTAGACCTTTCTATTTTAACAAACACAATTTTCTTATTATTTATAATCTCAGTGCAACTTCTGTAAAATGAGGCTCTAACTTGGTTTTCTTTTTTCACTGTATATGCATCTTCCCCAAGCCCATCTGTTGAATAACTGATCTCTTCCCCTTTGGTTTGTGGCACTTTCTATGTTATTATTTATTTGTTCTAATATGAATTTTGGTATAAGGATTATTTTCAGCAGAAGGCACCTGAGAAGAAGCAAATACAAGAAAACTGCCTACCCTCCCCCCATTTGCCTGAAAGTAGGACATAAATTGTAAAGGTGTCCCCCCTGTCCTCTATTAGGAAGGACAGAAGTTAATTGCTCTTTAGCAGGCAAGAGATGGCTCCAGAGAAGTCTACATAACAAACTTTACCAGCTAGCCCTTACCTTCCATTAGTTCCCTCATACACTCACCTTCCCATGATTTGCTACCCTAGAAACTCAAAGTCCTTTTTCTTTGTCTTGTCATCTCTCTAAAAATCTATTGTTCTTTTGTAAAGAGACTGTATAAGCACAAACTCTAACCACCCCTTTAAGTTTCAGGTAGCTGAAAGCTCCCACATGTACGCACAATGAACATGATAATAAACTAGTTTTTTTCTTGTTAATCTGTCTTTTGTCATTCCCCTGCCCCAATGAGCCTAAAAGGCATGGGGGGGGGAAAGAGTTAAGTTTTTTTCTCTGTACACCTTCCATATTAACTTGTAGAAATAAAATATAGGCATCAATTGGGATTATAATTAGAATGGCCTTAACCCCAAGACATTGCTTAGAAAGAACATGCATCTTTACAATATTTAGCCATCCCAATCAGGAACATGAAATGAATATCTACTCACTCAATGACTATCTTCCTTTATGTTACTCAGTAAGTTTTATAGCTTTCTTCATCTAGGCCCCCCTCATTTCTTATTAGTTATTTTTAAATCACATTTTCTGTTTTTAGCTCAGAATGGGAACTGCTTTTCATTCACTTTTCTAACTATTTTTGGTACAGCACAAAACGATTGCATATTAATTTCATATCTAGCTGCCTTTTTGAATTCCTTTATTGATTCCTGTTGATTCTTATGAAGAAGTCGATTATTCATCAAATGGTGTCAGAAAATTGTCTGTGTGGTGGGCAAGAGGTGGGTGGTACAGGAGATTCATGTTAGATACTCACATATCTGGTATATTTCGGCATATGCCAAAATAAATTACAGAAAGATTAAAAAGTTAAAGGTTAAAAGCAAATAATAAAAACACGAGAAAATACACAGCTGAATATTTAACTGACTTGGGGATGAATAAAGAGCTTCTATGGATTAAAAAAATGGGAAAAAATCACCAAAGATACAAAGACAGCTATATTAAATTCAATATTCCCAAGTGACCACAGAAAATTAGTAGATAAACATCCAATATGGGAAATACACTTGAAACATGACAGTTAAATGGGTAAAAATCCTAACCATATAAAAAGCTCTTATAAACCAGTAAGAGAAAAACTAATTAATACCCATAGGAACATGGGCAGAAGAAATAACAGGAATGAACAGGTAATTCATAGAAGATATCACACACCAATAAAATACAAAACATTCAACTGCACAATCAAATTCAAATTAAAATGACAAAGAGAAAGCATTTTTGTGGCCTATTCAACTGCAAAGATTTGGTGCTTTGAGACTGAAAACTTTAACTTCTGACAGGAGTATGGAGCGTTATAACCTTCCTGGAAAGCAAGTTGGTATTCTGAAATAAAAGCTTGTAAGAATCAAAGCATGAATATATATTTGTGAAATACTCAGGGATTAGACAAAAATTCTTATATAAAGATAACCATTAGAATATTATTTGTGCTAGCAACTGGAAGCAACAGCAACACTCCCAAATAAAGGAACAGTTTGTGGTACATCCACATGATAATATGATAGACTATTACTGCAGCCATTTTTAAAACATATTTCAGAAGAACAACTAATGGCTTGGGAAAAAGTTAATGATATGGTATCAATTGAAAAAAATCAGAATACAAATTATGTATAGCATGATACCAATTTTACAAATACGTGAAATATACATGCATAGGAAAAAGAGAAGAAAATACAAAATGTTAACAACGGTTAGATTTGGGGGGAAAGATTATGGATAGTTTGTATTTCATTCTTTACACTGAAGAATTTTTCAGATATTCTATAGTAAATACATTGCTATTTGTAAAAGGAAACACACACAGAATATTATTTTACAAAATAGATATTTCTTAATACACCAAGAAGTGATGCAAGAAAATTTTCAGAAACAAAGCGGAAAAGTTTTTTTTTTAAAAATCAGTAAACTTCTCTTCCACATGAACAACAGAAGATATTTACTTTTAAAAACTTGAAACTTTCTTCACATAATTGGCACCATTAAGAAACTTTTAAAATAAAGGTAGTAATCTCTAACTATTAAGGGTTTATTACAAATACAACCTAAAAAGAAAGCCCCCAGGGAATCAACTATAGGGAAAGTGTGATTAGAAGACAGTACTTACCTTTTTCACTTACACTCTCACTTTCAATCTCAACGTCATCACAACTTGTGTATTCAGGTGTGGAAGCTAATTCCTCCTCTGAACTGCTCAATGAAACCTGGCGCATTTTACCTCCCTTCTTTGATTTATGAGGCTTTGGTGGTGGAGGTCTCACAGACTCTGACTGATCGGAACTGAGAGAATCATTCCTTAACATTGTTTCCATCTTTTCCCGTTTTGTTTTCCTCACAGCAGAGCTAGGATCTAAGTGGTGGTGTTTCCTCAGTGGGTCAGTACGTCTCATGTCTGGTCTATCAATGGGTATTGGACTCCTCCGGGGGGTGGGAGGACTATGGTTTGTGGTCCTTTGTGGGTAAGAACTTGGTCCCTGAGCCTCTCGAGTTCTTTCCATTGAGTAAGATCGCTGATTTTCCATGGCAGCTCTACGTTCAGATATAGATCTCTGCCTTGATGGTCGTTCCATCCTCAGCATAGAAATCCTAGAATCTTCCAGCTCAGCATTTGCCAAAGAAACATCACTATGCCTTCTCTCATGCCTCGCTCTGGACACTTCCGCATGAATACGCATTTGTTCTTCATAGGGCTGTGGCTTTACTGGATAACGGGCCAAATTTGGGTCACTTCGATAGCGTGCCTGGTATTCTTCCTCTCTCCTTTGCCTTTCATACTCATCTCTGCTCTCCGCATCCTCATCATCTACAATGTATTCTTTGGAATGCCTATGACTTCTCCTGTTGGAGTCCCTGTAATTTATATGGTCAGACTCTTCATAAAACTGAGGTTCACGCTGAGACCTCCTATCAGCATAATCTGATGGAGATCTAGGCATGGTGTTATCTGAAGTAGCATACTGTGGATATTCTTCTCGTTCTTCTCTTTGGTCGTATCTTCTATTCTGATCTCTGGATACTGATGGACTTCGTGTCCTAAGTAAGCAAAGGAAAAGAATGATGAGAAGAGCAACGTCTAAACAATTCAACATTTTATTAATTCACTGGTGGGTTGATGAATTAAATTCAAATAGTTCTTTTGCTTTTTTTAAAAAAATTCTTTTTAAAGTCATGCTTAACAAAAGATTTACTAATATTCATTTTATTCAGTTCAAATAGGAAATTTAAAAGGTATTTTTGATATGGTTCTTTAATGCCTGGCACACTACAGATGGAATATACCTATGCCCTGAGATAAGATAGCATCATACTCTGCTGCTGCAAGATGGACTTTTCTATAATTTCTTTGCTTGGCTCAATACACTTCGACAATCGCCCAACTGCTATTCAGAAGCTTTGAAAAACTCCACCTGACATTCTCTCTATTCCTGACACCTTGATATAGTCTCTTGAAAACATAATGAAGCCAAACTAATTTGGTTCAAGAGTTGAATACTTTCTGACTAAAATTAAATACTGGCTCTTAAAAATCATTTTTCATAGGGGCCCCTGCATGGCTCAGTTGGTTAAGCATCTGATGCTTGGTTTCAGCTCAGGTCATGACCTTGGGGTTGTGAGATCAAGCCCCATGTCCCGCTCTGTGCTAGGTGCAGAGTCTACTTGTCCCTCTCCGTCTGCTCTTCTCCCCACTCTCTCTCTCTCTCAAATAAATAAGTGAATAAAATCTTTTTTAAAAAATCATTTTTCATTCATCAGCTACCTAGATCACTCCTAGTATTGGTTCATCTAAATCATTTATCTCCAACCCTTCTTTATTGCTCTAACTTGAGATAAGCAATTTAAATAAATAACAACAATAATGACTTATTCATCACACACACACACACACACACACACAGTCTTTGTAGAACTCAGAAGGGACTGCTATTTTTATTCTATCTTCATTGAGATTAAGGCCAGCTCCATGAAACTTGTCTTTGTCTTCACATCTGACCCTGCATACTTCCTTATAGCCTCAGATGAAGAAACCGTATATTAAGTTCTCAACCTGCCCCTCTAACACTAGTACAACACAGCGGACCTTGTAATCATAATAATACTCCTTGTCAACAAAATATTCACACTGACCTCTTCCCTGGTACGAACCCAGATAGCGTCAACCACTAGCCGTGAAAAGCAGTGGGACTGGACTCCTGAAGATGACAGAAGTTCAGAATATCTGTTACAGGGATTTTTGCCAGGACATATGAACAGGAGATAATAAAAAGCGAGGTCAGTTGAAGTTCAAGATGACCAACATTAGATAGCTCAGTTGTAAATTTCTTAGATGTTATTTGGTGGGGGGGTGGGGTGGGGGAGCCTAAAAGCAAAAGCAGAGAAAGGCTACATGTGGAATGACCCCACTCAGCAACAGCATCATTCTCCTCTAAAGTCTCCCATGTCACCGAATCTCCCCTGTATCTGAAATACAGCCTGCCAACGTGCCAATCAAGATTTGTTAATAAAAACAGAAGTCACTCTAGGTTTTCCAGGGAGTAAGGGTTTTAATACAGTAATCAAGAGCTATGCAACTGCACCAGCCATGAAGGCCAGAGAAGTTAGTGATCTTGTTCTTGCCTGCAGAGCCAAAGACAAGGGTTCTCAAGATGTTCTTTAGGAAGCTGCTGTGAAGCTCAACAGTCGTCGGGAATTTGCCACCAGTTATCTCAGCTGCCGAGAGCAGTAGGGTGGTCCATTAAGAGGAGCTTGCCAGGAGCCACTGAGACTTTCCCATCCTGTGTGCGTGCCAACAACTGCAGCTGGACAGTACTGGTTTCGGTACATCCCCCACCTTCCAGTGTCACATAGGTGCACAGCCTGGGGAGACTACCCTGAGCCAGAAAATGAAGGAACTAGTCTGTTTTATGATTAGGCAAGTGGACGTGATCTCTTTTTTACATTTATATCTTATGTCTGCATATAAAACATTTAGGACTTGAAAACAACTCTTTTCAGTTACAACCGTTACATAAAACCATAGACTCCTATATTTTAAAATATACAACCAAAACAGAGCACTCAAAATAAATTTTAGAGTATTGACCTACATAATATCCTATATGTGTATCTGTTAGGCATAACTCATTGTACTTTTTTGTCATTTTTTATACATATGACTAAAGGAAAAAATACTGCAGCACGGTGGCAATGTAAAAAGAACAGAATCAAGGGCTCTGGGTTTCTTAGTCCTACTTTTGTTATTACCCAGTTATTTGAACCCATATGGCCAGTTAATCTTTGAGAGTCTGTATTTTAAAGTGAGAAACATAGATTATACACATTAACTCATATATTATTTTAACACATATGTATTAGGCAAGAACTAAACGCTACATACTACAATATAGATTAGAATAAGGAAATGTGGGGCACCTGGGTGGCTCAGTCGATTAAGTTATGATCTACCATAAGTTCATCAAGTTAGTATGCTTAAATGAAAGCTTTAAGGAGAGCAAAAAATAATACTTCTGGCAAGATATAATTAACTGACTGGTGCAAATTTTCAACATACATCTCATTAACTGGCTACTTATATATACTTACTATATTAAAAAATGAGATAAATGAGAGTTTCTCTAGAGAACTCTAAAAAATAAACAATTACATCAGTTCTTTTTTTAAGTTCTTTTTTTTTAAGATTTTATTTATTTATTTATTTGAGAGAGAGAGAGAGAGATTGCATACGAGCAGGAGGGGAAAGGCAGAAGAAGAGGGGGAAGCAGACTCCCACCTGAGCAGGGAGTCCGATGTGGGGCTCAATCCCAGGACCCTGGGATCAAGACCTGACCTGAGGCAGACACTTAACCAACTGAGCCACCCAGGTGCCCTACGTCAGTTCTTCTAAACTGACCATTTAACCTCCATTAGATGCAGACTTTATGTTAGGAATTCAAATACATTTCGGTATGTTATTTTTTTCTAATCTAAGTTAATGAATATATTTGTCTCCAAAAATATAGGTTACTCATTAACCAAATTCAATATCTAGAAATTGATTCTGTTCCAAGAGTAAGATTCTAGTGTTTCTCAGATTTATATGGTACATAAGAAAACAATTTTTTAAACTTTATTTTTAAAACTTTTTTTTTTTTGCTGTGCCTTTTATTCCTGTGACTTATTCTTCTGTAACTAGAAGTCTGTATCTCCCACTCTCCTTCGCCCATCTTGACCATGCCCTCATTGTTTAAGTTCTAATTTCTCTAAAATCCAGTCTGAATTGAATAGGAAATTTTAAAATTGTATGTACGTATATAAATTTTGAAAGCAGTGTTACCTCATTACTATAGACCAGGAAGATCAGGTCATCAGTTAGAGCTCACTTTTGTGCCTTTGTATTTCTCCAACATATACTACCCCATCCTATTTACCATTACCTAATTTGTGCTCTGTACTGTCCACTAGACTTTAAATTTTGAACCATAAAGGACTGTGCCAATTATACCTTTGTAGTTCCACTATTAATTCATTCACTCAACATTTATTCAGGGCTTAATATGTGCCAGCTGATTCTGGTTGCTGGTTGCTGGAAATTCAATCAAGAAAAGACACATAAGGTCCCTGCCCTCAATAAGCTTTCTTTCTAGTAGAGGAGACAAACAATAAGCAAATAAATTAAGCAGTAAATAAAGTAATTCCATACAGTGATAAGTACTATAAAGGAAAATTGAAACACGGTAAATTTACAAAAAGTCTCTGAGGGAAGTTACTTCCAATCAGAAAGGTCTTCCTGAAAAGGTACATTTGAACTAAGACCTGAGTAATGTAATTACACTGAATGTAGCCCATTTATATAAAATATACAACTTCATTGGAAATGTTTTGGGTATTGTCATTAGGTTGCTATTTTTCTTTCTTTCTTTCTTTCTTTCTTTCTTTCTTTCTTTCTTCTTTCTTTCTTTCACTTAAAGCTGTTTTATAAAATATAAAATCTACTGAATTCTCAACTGTTGTTTTACTAAATCAAGGATTTTCCAAGGTAGTTCATCTCTAGAACCCACCAAAAGCAGCTCACCAAGCCTTTTTCATGTACCCCTCCTTTTCAAAAGATTTCATTCTCTCAAACTGAGTAAATTCCAATTCCCCATTATCCTTGATCTCAGATGGGAGTCAAAAGAAAAACAATCAGATTAAATCAGAATGAATGGATATTGGCTTTATAATATTATCAAAAATACTTATATGCTTTAAGATTTCTAATGCAAATTAATCTCCAAAATGTGGGACTTACGGCCATGCAAGAAAGTAAAAAAATTCAGAAAATGTTAAGGGAGAAATTGGATAGTTTGAAGGCAGTTCAACCTAACGATGGCCTTCCTCCTCACTGTACCTATTCCCTAGGTAATTGTATCCATTTCTATCCAGGAATGTCTACAATACTCTAGGAACTGAAGGTTCATGAGGAGCAGCATTCTGGATCTATATAAGCTGCACTTAGTAGGTGCTTGAAAAACGTTTGTTGAATTAAAGAACTGATTAATTCTCCCTTAGATTATCTCTACTTTTCATGATATGTTCTTTTCTTCTATATTCAAACCCACTGATGTGATAAAATAGTCGTTCTTCTCTTTTCCCTAGTGTTCCTTCAGCAGTAATAGCACCCACTGTGGGTAAAAGGAACTGCTTTTAGTAGTGATGTACATTATATGTTAATTTGACTTTTGTTGTTGGGCTTCAAAATCCAACAATTGCTTATAAAATTATTTCTTTAGCAAAATATATTTAGAGTGTCAATCACTTTACAACTAAACATTTAGAACAAAACCTCTGTAAATTAAGGATTTCTAGTAATATATTTAGTATCACACTTGTTATGGGACAGAGGTAGGGGTAAGAAAAGAAACACTTCATCTCCTGAGGAATTAATGTAAATTTTTGAAAGTAGGATATAAATAAAGTGACTATAGTGAGCCTTTACAATATAGGAAATATATTTTATTTGATTGATAAAAAAAGAATATTTGTCATAGAATTCAGTTCCAAAAGAAAGTTTATCATTA